TGAGATTTTCAAATGACAATGATGATCATGGAAACAGAAATATATGTGAGATAGGAAGAGTGTGTGTCTGGCTGAATGATTGACTGACTGAGTGAGAGATGATTGAAAACCATTAGAATGTGAGAGCTTGAACACACACACACACATATGAAATAAACAAAAGGCGCAAAAACAAACAGATTGCTGACAAAAATTGAGATTTGGTGGCCGTTATACACAAAATTTTATTTTCCTTTCTGTTCCATTACTTATTGATTAATTTCCAATTTGTTCATTCTTTTCTTCTGGTCATAGGTAAGAAAGTTGGTGAATTGAAAGTGCAATCGAAACAAGAAGAATCGACTGAAATGAATGAGACTGAAAGTGATAGTTCAACAACCGAAAAATCCGATGAAGCAACAACAACATCAGATCCAAAATCAGAAAATCTTGAAAGCACACTAGAACCAGAGGCCGAATCTGTCGATGTTGAAAAAAGCAACGAAGATGGTAAAAATGTGAATATTCAAAATAGTTCCCAAATGCCAGCGTCAGTTCGACAATCTGCATTTTTCATTCAATTGGCGGACGGAACCTTCCAGCGTGTTGTTTATGTTGCGCCTCCAATGCCAGCTGCTTTCGAACCACAATCGCAACAGCCTGCAAGTAACATTAAAATCCAACAGCTTAACCAAGCGCCAAATTCTCCATTCGGATTTAATCCAATCACCAATCCACGCATTGTTACTTTTAGTACACAATACAATGCTTGGTAAAGAAAAAGAAATAAATAAAAAATAAAAATAATAAGTATAACAGATTATTATAAAAAAAGTGGAAAAATGAAATAAAAAATTCTTAAAAATTACTACTCTACTGTTCGATTACTTTATTGATTAATTTGGTATTCCCGAATTGTAAACGAATTGATTAAAAAATAAATAGCGTTTGCTGCGAAAACACATTCAAAATTATCTAGACTTTTCTATTTGTGCTCACTTTAGTGTTGCTCGATGCTATCGCATCAATTATCATTAACTGTCAAAATAATGTAAACTTTTATTCATTCGATGTCAAACAAATTGAAGCAAAAAATATATTTTCTAACTTGTTTTATTTGTTAAAAATGTCCGATTACGATAAAGTTCGTGTTAGTAAATTGGTTCTGAAAGGGGAATCATCAAAGTAAGTACCACATTTTTCCATAAAGAGACGTTTTGGGTAATATGATTTTTCTATATTTATAGAGCTAAGAAGCGCAAACATAAACACAAGGATAAAAAAGAAAAAAGTGACAAAAAACGGGCTATTATCGATGAAGATTCCGTAAAACATGGTGGATGGTGGAAAGCAAGTAAATTTGAAGATATCATTGGTTCAGTGGCAATTGAGTTTGGTGGCAAGCAAACATATATAAAGAGTTTAGACAATGGTCTCTTTACAATTGGTGCTCCTCATGACGAAGGGGACGGGCCTTCACCCGAAGAAATATTCACTGCACTGGCTATAAATGACAGACACATCGCACTGAAATCAGGATATGGGAGGTATTTAAAAGTGGAAAAAGATGGTATAATTACCGGACGTTCCGAAGCTGTTGGAGCACTAGAACAGTTTGAACCCGTTTTTCAGGTTAAAAGAATATATTATTTAAAAAGGAAAAATATATGAATTGAAAAAGAAAATGTGTAAATAATTTACATTTACATTACAGGATGGATTGATGGCTTTACAAGCATCAAATGGCTGCTTTGTATCTATTGACACAGAAGATGATGCAGTTGTTGCACTTCGTAAGTCAGTTGGAGAAGCTGAAATTTGTTCAATTCGTGCATGTGCGATGAGAGAAACTAACCCAGTCGATGACACACCGATTGAGGAACAAGGTTCATTAACCGAAGTTGAAGTTAATTACGTGTAAGTTACTATTATTTATAAGAAAAACGTTTAGACTGAAATAACTAATCAATAAACTCTATTAATTTTTGGACATTTTTTTGATCAATTGCTTTTTTCAGTAAAAAATTCCAAAAATTCCAAGATCACAAGCTTAGATTGAATAAAGAGGATTCATCATCACTTAAGAAGGCAAAACAGGATGGAAACTTGCACGAAACACTCTTGGATCGACGTGCGAAAATGAAAGCTGATCGTTATTGCAAATGAATTTATAATAATAATGGAACTAAAAAAATGTTTTGAAAGTATATAATTATTAGCGTTTTTTATTATTACTATTACTATTTCAACGTTAAAAAATGTAACGCTTTGATCTATTTTAGTGGTGTAATACAAATTCCACAAACCACATTTTACAATATAATATGAACGCATAGCTGGGCAGACTGAAAAAATCAGGGGTTGGGGGTAATTTCCTTAAGAACTCCTAGCAAAATAGGAAAGTTTCAGCTATATGATCCAAATACCATGAGAGAAGCAAAATGAGAAAAATTCTATCCAAAATCATGAATTTTGTAAAGGGGTAACGCAAAAATTTTATGTAATACCCCCTCCCTATGCAAAGAGATCTGTGTGATTTTATCCTCATTTCCTACAAACTTTTTGACATCGTCACCCCATTAAAAAAATTCCGTCATCATCGATGATTAAAATCGTATTACAAAAAATTTAATTATGATATTTGTATGAAAATTGTGTCGTAAATTATTTGTATAGCGAAATTTACGTAAGACTTAGATCTCGTGCCAAAAACTCCTAAAAATCATGTGTCTTTCATTGAGGAAAGATTTTTCAAAATCATTAAATTGATCAATAAAACATTTAAAAGATGTGAGTTTCAAATAATTTCACATTTATTTATTTTTCTTCGATCTTTTACATTTACATTTTTTTTATTTTATTTAGATAAGATAATATATCTCAGGCAATATATATATACACACTAAAAATGCGTGTAATGCTATCGGTTTGGCATCATTAAAAAAAAAACTCTCATATAACTTAGTCTGAAATTTTATAAAACAAAAAAAATATGAGATATAAGATGTGCCACATACATTGCAATACATCGAAATTTTTAGTAGAAAAAGCTTACAATTTATCAATCAAATTAAAATTAAAAAATTAAATTATACGAGAATAAAAAAAATTAATAATAACATGAAGACTAAAAGTTTGAAAAATAAAATAATTACAATACAAAAAATACATATGTTGCTATCGACGATTTCTCTGATCATAGTTTCTGTGTGTAAATTTTGTTTGAAACAAAAATAAATGATTCTTGAGAACCTTAGGAGGAAAGGAAATGAGTTGATGTAACAAGTTAAAGTTTTCTTTTGTTGCTTTAATTGTTTTTGTTGTTATAATTATATTTATGGCAAATAAATTGATGATTGAATGAACTAGATACGAGGAAATGAGCTAATATGGCCTTCGTTTTACATTTGTACACTGCTTGAATGATTACGATTTCTGATGCATATTAATGCAGCGTCACTTTGACTATAAAAGAACGATTAAAATGCGATTTTTCATGTAATTTGTACGAAAAAAATAAATGTTTAAATCAGCGAAACTTAGTTGCGTGCAAGGCATTTTGGGTGTTGAATGAGAATATCCACAGTATTGTTTTTTTAAATTAATTTAATCACGACACTTTTATCGACTCCTCATTAGCAAAAATATCAAAAATCCTTTTTGACTAAATCACCAGTTTTAGTATCTAATGCAAAAAAATATGCAAATACTTTCTCTGGTTCCAAATATTGTACTTTAAATGACTTCCAAATGCAGACCGGTATCTCGAGACGGGAAACAGCTACCACAATAACCACCACATGAAGATGTAACCTTCTGATATGGTGGTTCAAACTAAATTTGAAAAAAAAAAAAAAAAATATTATTGCATTCACTGCTGGAAAATGTTCAAATTTTAATTAAACTTACTCCATAGAAATGCTGAATGACATTCATTCCTCGTGTTTCCCATCGTGTCCTTGGCCTTATGCGAAATTTTGTATTTTCCAAATTAATCGAAAAGGCACCACGAGGGCATCGTCGAGTCGTTGAAAAACAGTCACCAGCTGAAGCAAATGGCTGCTGACGTCTGCCACTGGTACGAGCAAATGTAAAGTCATCGGTTATAACTTGAAGCGAATGCAAATCAATCCGTACTTTCGAGAAATATGTCAAACCAGATGCAATTGTAGAATCAACCCAGTGATCAGACTCATTTATCAAACACTCATCTTTATTTCGGGAACGACGATCGAAGTATAGGGAATAGTTTTCTCGGTCATCTGTTAAGACAGAAAATGTATATTATTTCTTTTCTGTGCAAGGAAAAGATAATATTACCTCTTAATGAAATATACTCCTGCGGATTTGTGGAATTCATACGATGGCAATAAATTTGAACTTTTCGACCACGAACTGTTAACATATAATCACCATCTGTATGTACCTATCAATTGATTTTTGAATATGAATTTAATTTAAACAAATGCAAATTAACATGGAAAATGTTATAGCAATAGCTAACTGTTTCTTCTTACCCAATGAGTCTTTTGTAGTCCCTTACACGTACCTTAAAAAAGAAAAAAAGAAAATGTTTGAGCTATTTGTTTCTATTTATATTTAAAAAAAACTTAAATATATTGTACATACAAGTTGCAGGCTGATCACATCGTTTTTTCTGCTCAGGTTTATTAATATCTGGACAACTATTCGATTGACGATTCAATCTCATATCAAAACATTGAACTCTTCGCTTCGTATAACCGCTGCATGAGCACTATAGAAAAGGAGTTTTAATATAAATTTAATGTTCAGTAAAATAAATTTTCGTAATAGACATGATTATCGACTTCAACTCACCGGTTTCCACGGGCCAGCTTTCCATTTACATTCTGATGTAGTCTCACAATGTTGTGTGGCTGTTGGCTTCTGTTGATTTCTGCACATCAATTCATTTACTTTTGTTCCACTGAGCATACATTTGATTTCTCGCGTTGAGTATCCTCCAGTACCACAGCCAACTGAGCACTATCCCCAAAGGAACAATTTGTGATTGCTACATAGTTTTGGTAAATTTTGACAATAGAAAGTAGCAATAAAGACTTACCCTTGACCAAGAAGTAACTTCCCATTTTGGTGATGCACACGCTTGTTTACGGCAAGCTTTCATTTTTGGTATAAATGGTGGTTGTTTCATATGTTGACAATAGCGTTCGCTCACTGGTTGGCCCTTTTTACGCACTTGATTCTTATCTTGTTGAATTCGTGAATATAATCGCATACAAACACGTTGTCGACTACGAGTACCATTACCACATTCAGCAGAACACTAAAACAATTTTATTTGAATTAATAATATTCTTCATAATTAGCTTCTATGAAAATTTTGAAGAGCAAATAAACTAACCGGTGTCCATATATTTCTCCATTTGAATTGACAGCATTCTTGTATGCTTTGTGGTCGAGTGTTCAACGGACAGTTTGTTATATTAGCATGATGTCGATCATCTTGGCAAACCACTTGACGGTATTGCTTGCAGTTATCATTACACTTAAAAAATCAAATGATTTGTTAATGAAAAAAAAGAAGAACTATATTTTGAAATCAATGGTTTTTGAGAATTACCTGGCCCCAATCGCCAGTTCGCCATTTTGGGCAACGCTGTTGTGCGCAATTTGTTATGTTCACTGGCTTCTCTTCTACACAATAACGATCATCAATAACTTGATTTGTAGACTCACTTACGCAACGAACAGCTCGAACTCGGAAGCCCTAAATTTGAAAGAAAGGAAAAATTAGTTCATTCACTGCTGGAAAATGTTCACATTTTAATTGAACTCACTCCATCACATGTAGCTGAGCATGGGGACCAACGACTTGTTCGCCAAATAAACCTATAGCTTATGTTAAATAAAAATTGTTTATAGCTCCAAACAAAAATATATTTAGCTCTCGCTCTCCAGCAAGTCACTTTTCTTATTGAAACTTGTACCATTTTTTTTGCATAATTTGTGCGAATTTTGAGAATTTGTGCAAAAAATGCTGACGAGATATTCATCTATGTATTTTGAGGTGAATTTTGGTTTTGTGTGTAATTACGACCAAAAAATCGGAAAAAGTTCTTTACTCTTTTTTGTGCATGCCAAATATGCCTTCGGATCGGTCGTACATTGCAAAAAATGTATCGAAATCTATCGGTGTCAATATTCCCCACACATATTCATCACTTTCAGATAAATGATTGATGATTGATTGAAATGTTTTTTCAGAAAATGAGCCCCTTTTTTGCTATACTCATAATTTTACCCGGGGTAGCGATTTTCTAAATCCAACATTTTATGTAACGTATTTTAAGTGTGAAGAGATTGGGGACGAATACTGAAAATTTCAAATTAAGTGTAAGATGATTTTGTGAAAGTGTACACGCTTCAAATTAAGTGTAGGTACACTTACATCAATATTTTGTCTTTAAATGGTTAATGTTCTTTTAAAACTTCAATAATTTTTTGTCCAAAGTACACTGCTTAGACAAAAACAAATTATTGTGTTTGATACACATTTTAGTTTGAAAGGTATTTGTGAGTAGAATCGATCCACTATGAAATAATGAAAAGATCCTCCATAGAGAAACCGATCAAACGGAACCAGAGGGTGGCGTTTGATACACCGTTGGAAAGGTATTGGAACATAGAATAAGATGGTATGATATGATCAGATCCATGGATTCTTCGAAGTGATTTTGGTGACATGGTTAGAAGAAAACCCAAACTTTCAACATCATTTCAAAAAGGACCCCTCAGGAAATTTCCATGGAGTTAAAATATATACATTCCGAGAGTTTGAAGAAATGTCAACGAAAATCTTGTATGATGGGTACCCCTAATTTGCATTCAAATTTCTTCAAACTTTCACAGTGTTAATTTTTTGTTGCGACCCGCAATCATCCTGTGAGGTCAGATTTTGAATTTCGTTTTTAGAGGGAAAGTTATCTTGTTTTTTTTTTTCAATGTACGACCGATCCGAAGGCAAATTTGGCATGCACAAAAAATAGTAAAGAAATTGTTCCGATTTCTTGGCCGTACAAAAATGTTGAATTGCGCCTAAAACCGAAATTCACCTCGAGATACATAGATGAATATCTCGTCAGCATTTTATGCGAAAAAAATGGCATAGGTTTCAATAAAATACTTAAAAGTGACTTGCTGGAGAGCTAAAATATTCCTTGCAATTTAATACCTTGGTCTTTGCTGTGGATATGGATTTCTTGGCATGGTTGTAGTAGTTATTGCCACTGCTGTCACCGGTGATTGTGTTGTAGTTGTTGTGGCTGAATAACCTTTTCTCTGCGTTGGTGTTGTGCGGTATGTTGTCACCTGCGGTTTGCCACCAACATCAACTTTATTGCTATAACTAGTCATAATTTTTGGAAAATCTCTGGAATATAATACTGGAGTTGGGGTGGAATTCTGTGAAAAAAGAATACATTCAATTCAATAACATTCATATTATTTTATCAAAGGATAATCTATGATTGTGCAGGAGCTTTTTAAAATAGCATATTTATATAACAAATTTACATCACTCTAAATTTCCAATGCCAACATTAAATTATAGCATTTTAATATATGTTATTGACAGAATTTTGTTTAGAAAGATGAAATATACAACTTGAAGAAATTTTGTGTTTTTATTTTTGTTCGGTAGGTATTAGTTTGGTTAGAATCTATGTTTATATTATATATATTTGGAAAATATACTGTTTGGATGTTGGAATATCTGGAATATTGTTGTTAATATTTTTTCCATTGTAACAGACATAAAAACATGATAAATAAAAAAAAACATAAATGATGCCCACAACTATTTAAAACAATATCAGCATAAAAAAGAAAGCATCATCATCATCATCATTGAATACCTTTCTCCAACATGGATCCATCTGGCAACTACTGTACATATCTTTTGGCTTCGTTTGAGCATCACACTCATTTGCACTGATTACTTTGTTATTTTGCACACAAATAACTCTACGAGTTTTATATCCTGAGCATCCTGACGTTACCGTACACTTGTGTATCGTATTAAGTATGTTTTTTTGTTTTATTACAAATAACACATAAATATCACCATAAATGTTTTATTTCATATTTTGAATGAATTGAGTGCATGTGTATCGTGAATGTATAACATTTGAATGAAAAAAAAGTAAAAATAATTTGTCAATTAGTTAGATGTCACTTGAAACTGGTTCGTGTAGGATAAATTTTCAAATAACAGCTTCGATGTTTGGCTGTCATTGTGCATACTTTTTAACTGATGATTGAACAAACAATCGAAAAAAACTTACCGCTGACTCATCACCAAATTGCCATTTCGGACAATCGTGTGTATTGCAAGCTCGTTCTAAACTCTCTTTCGGTATATGCGCACAATATTTTTCATCAATGATATGACCACGATGATGTGAAGTGCAATATGCTGTTCGACTTTGTATTCCACTGTTGCATATTTTTGAACACTAATGAAATATTCCCGAAAAATTTGAATTATATATGTTCACATATCAATAAAGCCAAATAATCTCTATTTCAAACCTGTCCAAAATCCTCATACGTCCACGTGGCTGAAGGGCATGAACCTATACACTTTTCATATAGTTTGCTCTTTTGACTGGTTGGACAATGTGAATCATCGACAACTTTGCGATGATTCAATTGTGGGAATGTTTGTATACACGAATACGATAGTTGTTGAACCCCATCGCCACATTCCGCGGAGCACTTTGATCGCTGAATTTCCCACCTAATTTACAATAATTTAAGTGTTTTTGTTCGTAAATTGCTTTAATATTATGAAATTAAATTAGCATATGAAAAAAAAAAACAATTTAAAAATGAATACTAACTCAACAACGCATCCAACATTGCAGGCTTGGTATTCGTCTTCTGGTTTTGCTTCTCGACACAATGAAGTAGCCACGTGACGACTCGTATCAATTTGTATACAAGCAGCAGTTCGGAATTGTTCACCATCACATAAACTGTTGCATTCACTCCATTGTGACATTTCCCATTTGTACTGTAATTTCCCATTTTGTGATGGATGTTGGTGTCCTGAAGTTTGATGATTCGTTCTTGAATCTGGATTTTGATTGTAATTATATGGATAGAAATTGACATGTGTATTTCGTGTTTCATTCAAATCCATTGTGTATGAAAATCGAATCAATTCATTCGTTACGAAATTGTCACTTCGTGATAAAATCTAATACATAAGAAAACATATGAAATTATTCCGAATCATAATTGATCTATTATCTATCACTTAAAAAAATGAAATCCTACCTCAATAGTTAAATCACGTTTTAAACGCCGTGCGAATGTTGTGTTCACTTTTTCCAATGTCGAATTTGTTCCAGTGTATTCAAATGTTATTCCACCATAGGGGAAAATTATTGGATATTGCGTGATAACATTATATCCATTTAAAATATATTCACCTTGATCGTCCATTAAAGCTGAAATTCAATCGGATAAATTATCAATTTACAAGCAGGTAATAATATCTATTTTATTTTATTTGTGTCAACTCACCGATATAATTGAGATCGTCCGAATAGCCCGGCTGAAGGATTTCAATATTGGATGCTCCTTTTGGTACGACAGTAACATGATAATAATATGGAGTTTTACTGTATTCTTTTGCTTTTTCAATTTGTTCTGGCTGGAAATTGCCAACAATATCGATACATGTATCATTGTTGCCATTGCAAACACCGCATTTATCCAATTTTGCATCCGAATCTAATTGATTGTTACAACCAGCCGGGCGGCATATACCATTGACACATTTATTGAAACTCTCATGACTGCAAGAGGTCCCATCTTTCACCTAATGATTCCAGTCATAATTCTCATTTTTAGTCAATTTTAATACGAAAATGACGAGAGAAAAGAACTTACCTTATCATTTAATAAGAAATAATTGTTAGATTTCTCAACACGACAGTATAATTTACATTCATCATGTGTTGATTGACCATATTTTGGCACCCATCTCACATTTGCATCTAAACCTTGAATGCCAAAATTATTGTTGTTCATTTCGGCACATTGTTGTTCACGAAAATCTAACGTGTCTGGAGGGCAATCGTGAATGTTACATGATCTATACTTGATTCGCGTTCCAATACAATATTTTCCACCATTGGTTGGTGCAGGTGAATTGCACTCACGAGTTGAGGATTGAACACCACCTCCGCACGTTCTACTGCATTGATCAAACCTATCGAACATAAAAAAAAAAAAATTTATTCGGATTTTGTTTTTTTTAAAGTTGAAATAATAAAATTTCAATGAAAAATAGTAGTATTTAATAAAAATAATATCCTTACTGATTCCACGGGCCCCAGCCACCATCTACTTTAGTCAATGCTTTTCTATTTCGCGGTACACATTTTCCGTGTTGACACCAATGACCAGTGCCACATTCAGTACCATCTGCCCATGGAAGATGCTGTGTCTTACATCCTTCATTATCACTACCGCACCATAATGAAACACATGGTGGCTGAAAAACACAAAACAAAATCATTTTTCTTCCTAATAATATATTTAGTTACAAATTATATCAATTCAAACTGATTAGTCGTGCAATGTATGGACACACAAGTGTGTGGCATGACACTAAGGTGCAAGTACAATCTATGTTCAATTTTGTGCTATAATAAAAATTCATGTGAATAATATTGTTGAAAAAACAAGACAAATTTATAATATTATTAATCTACGTATTTACAAAAAAAAAATTACTACAACAGAGACAGAAACAAAAATCCCAAAAATAAACAGTTAAATTCATACAAAACATGCCCAACTTTTTTTTAATCTACAAATTGCATTTATGTTTGCTTTGACTAATATTTCATTGCTTGCGTGTCATTCCACTCACCTGATCAACTTTTTGACCTAAAATACTAACAGTGATTGAAAACGGGCAAACTTTGGTATTTGGCCCGAAAGCCAATTCACATTGCTGATCTGCTGGGAATTTTTCGCCGGCCAATATTTGCGGTGATGTTTCGATCATGTCGTTTCGCGGTTTATTCAACATACAAAAGCCACGGTTATGCCTGCGACACAAAAAATAAAAATAAATTAATATTAAATTTACTTGAATTTTACTACACAGCAATCATTCTTGTTGAATTACTGCACAAAAAATTATATTTTGAGACTCGCGCTTCAAGTATTCACTAACTAATGCAAAACTGCTTGTCCCAGCATCATTTTGGTTTAAAAATTAATGAAATGCAAGTTTGCGAAAAATACGAGCAATTGCTTTGACGTTATTTTCACGGAGTGACCGAAAAAATAATTGCAATCGTCGCAATCATAATGGACAACAAAAAAAATAACGAGGTAGAGGTTACACTTTGTAAAAACAAGTGTGCGTTAAGACGTAGAGATTTTTTTACGATTCATTCAAAAGAACAAAAACACATGTTTTTTTCACACCAGTATAAAGAATATCCTGTAGCCAATGACAATTAAATTGTAAATATTCCTTTTTTGATGACAAGAAATGAACAGACAATTTTCGATCTAACCAGTAAACTTTTGATATGCCAGAGCCCGAATTTCGATTTTTTGTATGGAATCATGGAGGGGTACAAAAAATATAATTTATTTTTGCCCAAATTGATATTTAGGGTTTTTAAGACTCTTGCCGTTTCGATGTATATCGCTATGTCGTATGAATAGCTCTTAATAAGACAAACATTTTTTGTCTCCATGATGGTGGTTGAAAAATGAAAATGCCCCTAAAGGAAAACACTTAAGTTGTCGACGCAATTTTGACACCAGAAACATTGAAACATTATGGCTGAAAGGTCAATACAAAAAATCGAAAATCGGGGTCTGACATATTTAAAGATTAACTAAATGGTGAATGCAAAACCCATTTTCATCAAATATTTTAAGAAGATTGTTCTTCATAAAGAAGAATCCGATAGCTACAAATGGAATGGCTACCGTAGACGTCCTGAATTTCAACATCTTGTTCAAAAGCGTTATGCAGTCATCATATCCAATTGTATTGATAGATTGAGTGACAGAAGTCATGTGGTGATTAATTGATGTGCTACTTGTTAACACGCGCACGGGATTTATTAGATTATATTGTACGACTATAAATCAAGTGCGACACTTAATGTGCATACAGACAGATTGAATAATGAATATATTGCATGTATATATTTTTCCATTTTCTTGTTTTATTTTTTTATTTTCTGAATCATTCAATATGTTTTTTAGCGCGTGTGAGTAACATGAATGACGAAAATTGTAAACAGAAGCACATTGACAACCATTTTTGGCGGTCAAACTGATCAAATTGTTTCCAATGATTGGAAACTAACTTAGTAAACAATTGAATTTGATGTTCCATTACATCATGAACAAAAGAATTTGAGTAATTTGTTGCAATTAAAATTGACAATGCTTTGAAGTGATACTCGGAAAGTTGTATTGATACGAACATTTTTACAATTCGAGCGGCAAATTTCAAAGCTGTATCAAACAGGCAAGAGGCCATCAACTCGAATGAGTTTTATTAAAATTTCGTTATGATGAATAGTCTCATATGATTGATCACGCTAGAACAGACGCAGTGATTTTATACTCAATCCGATCAACTTTAATTGATGTTAATAAATTAAAAGAAGTGTTGGAACCGGTTTACCATTTGGCATCTGGTTAATATGAAGCCTTAACTCTATTAAAATCCGCATATGCGTAACATGAAATCGTACGTATGGCATACATTTGTTCTGTGCATGCCAATGAATAATGAAAAAAAATAAAGGTGCTTAATCACAATTAAGATTGACATCTTGTTAAATCGCATTAAAGTCCATAAAATTATTTATCGTATTTATATTTATATGCGCTTTCCAGTTATTCTTAAAGATTTAGAAAACAAAAAGTGTAGCCAACTTTTAATTTTAAACATAGTTAAAAAGCATTTTCTCACTTACTCTAAATACTCTGTGACATAATGACGTGAACATGCTGACCACGACCAGGGGTGTGTATTATCGTCTAACATTCGTGCCATGATATGCTGCGAACTGCTACCATCTTCATTGCGAAATCGAGCACATTTGACATCATCGTCATGAGGCATACTCAATCTATTTGCGAGCAAAAGTAAGAAGATTCCAAACAATGTTTTCTTTATTGCAATTCTGATATTTCTTTCTAGAAAAAAGGTGCGTCGTTTAGTGAAAAGAAAGTGTCATTTATAGCACATACACATGTCCCAGTTCATGAGCGATAGTAAAAGCGGCCGACAGTCCATTGTCTTGAACAATAGCACACGATGATGGTCGACACATGGTGCCCAGCTCAGCTAACCCAAGGGTATCGCACTTCTTTTGATTTGCATTTCGACAAATTTGTTCCCTGCAAAATGTATATGGATGCGTTTATATTTCGTTATAGCAGTTCGTTAAAAAGTCAAAATGCAAGAAAGAAATTTTACCTTGTTAAAAGGAGAGCGGTGTCATGATGAAACTGATGATGTTGCACGAATTTACAAAATCTTGATAACATTTGTGAAGCGGATACACCTAAACGAGAGCAAAATTATCTAATGAAAAAAAGTATTTCAAAAATATAATTTATAAAATGCATTATTTTTGATCGCGTCTTTTGTTTCAAATGTCACATTTGACAAGCCCAACTTTGTTATTAAAAGTGAGAGAAAAAAACGAACACCTACTCATTGTCACATTAAATCGTCATTCTTTTTAATTTATTTTTTTAGATTTTATTTAATGCGAAGGTTGATTTAATTATTTTCTCACTTACCATTGTGATTAGATTCAATGTGCAAGTCATCTCTGAGATAAAAAATGTGAACGACAGCGACGTTAATTGAATTTCCAATGCTAGCATCCGCATAGATATTTGAAACAATTGACATTAGCGTCAAAACATAAGCTTGTATATTATTGCCATGATATTCATGCATTTTACGATCAATAGCAACCATCACTTCCATGGTATAGGCATTGTTCTCTGAATTACTCCCGGGAAAGTTGATGTGTCGCTTTCGGCGTGATGAACGGGGTTGTGTTGTGGTGGTAGTTGTTGTTTCAAAATCGGTTGCAGTTTCAGTCACTTCAGTCGATTGCAACGTGATATCTTCAATCTTGTGTGTTGAATCCGTAAACAAATTAAATGCTGAATTACCAATAAATTCAGTCGTCGAAATCAAACTATCAGTAACACTCGCCTGATTTTCCTCACTACAGTCTATATATTTATAATAATAAAATAAACAAAAACACAATGATAGTATGTAAAAAATAGTGAAAAAACACACGAATCACATCATATTTTCAAGTCCAAAATCTTTACGTTTCTTTCGTTCATTTTTTTAAATAGCTTTCTTAAATTGAGGCTTAATTAATCCATTTATCTAATTATAAATAATTACAACTTCTAACATTATGATAATTTATCATAACAATCGCAAATTATACTGCAATTCGAATATGGCATTCTTTTTATATTATTGACTAAATAATGCCGTCTAAAATATATTATGTTTTGCAAATTATCGCACCATTATCACTAACTTTCGTCATAGATTGCAGCAGAGTCAATAGGTATGACATGCATATCATTGTGACGACAACGACGATGATAATAATAGTATTTTTTACCGACAATCAATCATATTGATTGCCTTGACATCATGTGAGATACAGTGAACGGCGCCGTATATTACACCTTTTCTCACTATAAATTTGCTGTGATTTCTTAATCTAAAAATTTCTTTACAAAATGATTTATATCGAAAGTCCACATTAATTGATCGAGTTGATTGTATATAAAAAAAGACAAAACGAATATTGATTCAGAGATGTTCTATGGACTTTGAGAAAGGTTCATAAACTCTGTAATTTTTATTTACAGTACTTTAGATACATTGTCATTTTTGCTATAAACACCTAATTTTTTTTACTTTCGACAATGAAAATTCGCATATATTTCATTGTTTCGTGCTTTAAAGTAAAAACAGCTGTGTAACACTTTGAAAATACGATTCAAGTTGTAATTTAAATCGCAGTGATTGCTATACTTAGTTAGCGGAATAGGTTTACCATTAATTCCATAGTTATTGCGCGAAAGGTTAGATTTTCAAAACATTACATAGCTATTATTGTGAATTAAACATAGAAAAGAGTAAAAATCACACAGAAAAATATCATGCAAGTGATTTATAATGATTTTGGAGCTTGATTATCCTGTTATATGAAAACCGCAGCGATTGCGAGTTAATTGTGAATATGCGAAGTATAATATCCCAATGGAATTGACTCCTTAATAAGGAGTCCTTATGCTCATTTTGTACTTTGTATGTGTAAAGAAATTTCACAACTTCTTTTATGACATATCTTTTTTCTCAATTGCTTACATTCATGGAAAATCTCTTTTTTATCCGAACCCATTTATTCTAATGGCCTTTTTTATGTTGCTGCCGTACATACAAATGATAATAATTGAATAATGTTTGAACTCTAATTTATGCATTCCATGAATTTGATTCATTTTTATTGCGAATGCCGTTAAAATTACATTAAGAAGTGCGCTTTTGTTTCGATTTATCATCTAATCAAATGGTAAAAATAGAATGCAAACAAAAAACTTCAATACGAAAAACACACATAGTATGTTAAAAGAAAATGTGACAACAATAAACGTTACATTAGCAGAAATATTTCACAAGGTGATCCACTCAAATCAAGTTTATTTATCAAGTCTGCGCTTTTTTTGTTATCGCTTCGTCTATGTTTTGATCGCTTACTTTTTCGGTTATAACTCGATCGCGTATTAATTTTTGTATTTCTCTTTTTCGTCCATAGATTCGTATCAATAACAAAATTGTTGATTGGATAAATTTATTTGCATCTGTTATTTTCACGACATATATAAATGCTGTTTTTTTAATGAACCTTTGATTATGCAGTTAATTTTCAATCATTTATGCTCATGTGGTTTTTGCACTTGATAGTTATTTCAGCATCACGAGTAAGCATTTAAAGAAATAACTTGTGAAGTATTCATTCAATGCACTTACACAGACTGATGATCGATTAATGGACTTTACAACCTAAAAATAACTATGAGCTTCAATGAAACTAACCAGATGCATCATCAATGTTAATCAAACGGCTTCCTAGCAACATCAAAAATAGAGTGTTTTGTAAGCCAAAATGTTAAATACCGAACATAAAGAGATTATGTTGTTGCAAGGGAAAAGAATTGCAACATGAATTTACGTCTAACAAGAAAATGTTTAGATCAAAACATGAAGCTATCGATTAAAACTGAAACCGACTTTGCGAACTATGGTAAAATATTACGCTAGTATTTTGCGCGCATCACGCACGCATACGTTTCACTTCTACATCTGGTTTGCTTCAAATCATTCTAAATATAAAATATTTTCTGAATTAATGCGAACAATTAATGGTTTCTTTGAAATTTTCTTGGTTAGAATCGATATTTATTGTTAATGATTAATGGCTATTCAGAAAGTCAGATAAATGTTTTGGTTTGTTTAGATGTTTTTTTTTGAGAAATATTGTGTGGATTTTATTATTGTCGGTCAAAAAACTTTACTTACTTTTTCCATCGTCTGTGATGCATGTGACAATGGGTTCGTCATTATTTCCATTGCTAAATGGTCTTTCATCTACAATAATGCCGTCAATAGATTCTGGCTCTTCTTCAAATTCTTGATTGAATTCATCTTCAATCTTCCCCGCATCGCTTACATCGTCGTCTTCATGTAACCCAATTTCATCTACAAATACCTTTCCATTCTGATATTTATCAATGCTTATTTTATCAATTGGTAAAGTTTCTCGCGTAATCTTGTGGAGAATATTTTGATTGTCTAATGTGTATTTTTCAATTGGTTGAATAAAAAACGACCCGGATGATGTGTAAATGTGACCGCGCTGTAATTCAAATTTAAAAAGAAGAAGAAGAAAGAATTAAAAAACATTCTACTGATAAAAATTAAAACATGGATATTTTTAATATTCCATACAATTTTTGTTTAGTGTATTAACAAAATGTGCGAACTGATATTTTAAATGCTTGTGAGTTGTATCAATATTTACATATATTTAAACCTAGCAGCTTAGCGGCTAATTTTTTTTCGTTTCATTTTCATTGTGAATGCATATTAATATATTGAGACATGTTTAAATATTTGCATAGGTTGCTATGCAGTGTGTATATGTGACTGTTGTTCATGTGGTTTTTGTAAATCATTTATCAAATAAATGTTCGTCTTATTTTTTCACTCAAAACAAATCGTACACATCACATTTTCAACATGACACGCACTCCATTCTCACAATAAATTTATATATTGTATGCATTTATTGACAAGTGGGCTTCAAACCTATCATTTTCGCTTCAAATGAGCAGAGTACATAAACATAATTATTTATTTATATTTTTCTTTTTAAATTCATGTATTATTCCTTATTATGTCAATATTTGTTAATCTCATCAGACACAATTGTTGTATGTATTTATGCGCAATAGACTGGCCCCCAAAACACAAAAGTTGAAATTTTTTCGGAGCTACCCCGAGATGTTTTTCCATATGGTGTGTAAAGTTTCTTGCTGATAGCTCATTGCTACATAGTGCCGCAAGAGCTCGGTAGACCATTATGTGAATTTCTTGAAAATTGACATTTTTGTTTACTATAAATATAACTTTGTTCAATCACATCGACTCGAATTGAACGGTAATCATCATTTTCGGCCATAACTAACTACCGGACAAGTTTCAATCGATTTGAATGATAATAAAATACATTTTTATACAAAATGTTCGAATTTTTGAACAAAATTGAATGTGTCGTACCAAAGGTTAGACCATAGGTACTTCAGCCTTACACAAATTAATTTCCTTTGAAGTTAGAATAGTTTTAGAGCAAAAATAATGCGATTCCACTTTGGTAATCACCCATTTGAACGCTTCGTAAAGCTTGAACACTGACATTTGCATATCAAATTTTGAACAATGAACATAAGGCCAAAATATGAATATGAAACATGATTGATCCCTAATATAATTGAGTTCTAAAGTTATTTAAACGACTAAATGTGATCAATTTTGACCATATAACTAACATCCACGCTGTTTGAAAGCGTTCTGACCTGATTTGCGCATTGTTATACTAGCTGAGGTGAAGGTATATTTTCAACTCGCAATATAAAATGGAAAATTTTATGAAGAACCGAAATTGACATTGAATTCATGTTTCATAATCATATTTTGGCCTTATGTTCATTGTTCAAAATTTGCTATGGAAATGTCAGTATTCAAACTATACGAAGCGTTCAAATGGATGTATGCCAAAGTGGAAATGAATTAATTTTGCTCAGGAAGTATTCTAGCTTCAAAATAGATTAATTTGTGGAAGTATGAAGTACCTTTGGTCTGACCTTTGGTACGACACATTCAATTTTGTTCAAAAAATCGAACATTTTGTATAAAAATCTACTTATCCAGTAGTTAGTTTATGGTCGAAAATGATGATTACCGTTCATTTTGAGTCGATGTGATTGACCAAATTTATATTTATAGTAAACAAAAATGTCAATTTTCAAGAAATTCACATAATGGTCTACCGAGCTCTTGCGGCACCATGTAGCAATGAGCTATCAGCATGAAACTTTACACACGTTATTTACACACCATATGGAAAAACATCTCGGGGTAGCTCCGAAATCAACTTTTGTGTTTTGGGGGCCAGTCTAATACGCAACTGAATCTTTTTGTTTGGATTTCAATTAACACGACAAAGAAAAATTGCCATTCTGTCTGACAAAATTGATCTTGTATTCATCAGCAAATTACGTCAAAATGTAAAAATTGCAATGTTTTTGACAATCCATTTTTTTACATGATATCATTGTAAACACGATTTTGAGATTCGGTTTCAATCAACAAAACGATTACATAAATCATTTCCCATTTAACAACTAAAATTTAGAATTTTCTACGAAATATATTCATCAGCATATGTGTCAATTGCTTATAGTTTAAGTGTAATTTGATGTTTTGTTTAAGGCAGTATGAAGGCGTTGCCAAACACTTTGACCTTTAGTCATGAGATCACCACTAACAAGCCTGATGTTGACGGCTTTGATATCTAAAGATATATTTAAATTTTGTAGCTAGAAAATTTACTCACCGGTAGTACATTTCTTGTATTTTTTGGGGAAAGACAATATAATTCTATATATCATTTGAACAGAAATTGATTTGAAAAGTTCAAAACTGATATTTGAGCGAAACATGTGAATTAGTAATTAAACCGAAATCAAAAATGAAAGAATAAAAATAAAAAAAATTATTTCCAATGACAATAGGTGCTTAGTAGGTCACACATTTACAATTGTTCGTGTTTCATTCCATTCAGAATAATTTAGAATTTGAGATGTAAAACAAAAGCATAAAATCGATCACAAACATTCCGTTTTGTGAATACTACAAACGAATCGAATCGCAACAATAACAATCAATGATCACATGGGTGACCAGCAAGAAAATGCGCATTGTTCAAGAGTTTTTTTTATTTTCAGTGCTTTATTCGTACTTCGTTTAAACGTCGTTTACTTTTAGCATTATGTATGTGTATGTTCAGATTGTATTGAAATTATGTTTCAACGAACTAATATTTGTATTTAACACATAATAATAACTGATCATTGACTACCAAAACGAAAACAAGCTGATTTTTAAGTCACATCAGTTAGATGCGCGTATTAATGAATGGCATAACGATCACTGTTTACATTATAATGCTTACACAATCCAACACATAAATTTTCATATCAATATTCATCTACCTATTTACAATAGCTTTTTTCAATTCCGTGTGTATTTAGATTAGAACTTTCTCTACTTCGATCAGAGCTGTCAACGAATGTTCGTTCGTAGGCAGCAAATATTTTTATTTTGTCCGTTCGTTCGTTTGTAGAATTATATTGCGTTCGTTCGTTTGTTAGTAGAAAATCAAATGTTTGGATTGCTCGTTAGTTCGTTTGTTCATTCGTTGTTCGTAGAAAAATTTAAAAATATATGAAATAAATTAAAAAATCTTTCAAAAAATCATCTATTTCGATTTTGATAGCTCTGACTTCGATGTATTCAATTTACGATACCATATTCATTTGGCTGTCACTTTTGTCATTAATCATTTTCTTGCTGTATACAAAGAACGGACATTTTGATTGGAACATTTGGGCAGGCGTGTGTATCGATCGAAATCCGAAATATCTTTATAGTGTAGAATTAAAATATAATAAAATATCAATAATAACAATAATAAGCTCAAGGGGTTAATCCACCAAATTAGAAAACTAGAAAATTAGAAAAACAGAAGAATAAACTAGCACATAACGCAGCCTTCACAAATTGTAACGTAAAACTAGAAAAGCTAAGTTTTGTGGTTATCCCCTTGAATAAACTAAAATGAAACACCGTTGCAGCTGCACTATTCGTATGTCCATTAATAAAATGTTGTATTAAAAGCCATTCATCGCGTTTTAATTCCATTCACAAATGCCCAATTGATCATGTTTGTCGTTCGTTATACATGCTATTCGACAAATAGAAAAGACACATCACAAACATCGATTCATTCAGTAATTTAGTAAAAGTGAACGTGAACTTAGAGTTCAGAATAATTAAAGAGTTTTGTCAATGATAGTCATAATAATTTGACTACGCCTATAGTTATAAATAAAAAAAACACAAATTATCATATACCATGCCATCGCATAACGAGACAGCAACTGCAGATCGATCATCCGTTCGAATGCGTCCACGATAAAAACAGTTACGTAATTGTTCGTGCTCTTTTAGATCTTCGATTTTACGTTCCATTTCATTATTCCAAACGTGTGTAATCTTAACAAAAAAGATTAAAAAGACGGATTTTTAGTGCGATATATTCGTTTTTGGATTTCCTAAAAATGTACCTTCAAGTGTTTTGGAATGAAATTGCTGTCCTGGTATAAAATCAAATGAAAATGCACACCGAATGCATCGATTAAATATTGAGGATGTGGATCCCAAATTAGGCTTGATTTGTTTCTGTATTGACCGGTTATACGATGCTCAGGCATTTTTCCTCCAACATCTGAAACAAGTTATATTTTATTCGACCATTCTCAAATAAAAATGATGATTTTTTTCTATCAAAAAATTGGGACACATATGATAAAAATAAAATATAAATTTATTTTAATACGAAGCATTACAGCAATATGAACATATTCAAAACGTATCTATGTTTTGTTTTTGAAAAAAAAAAATAACTGATTTTTCATTTAAAAAAATATGACATGTTTATATTATTTCCTCTTTGGCATTATGCCAATAAAACATTTAAGATTTTTTTCTTCTAAATTTCATGTTCTAGTGAAAGTTTCTTTCTAACCTGCGTCCGGTTCATATTTCGTGGATTCATAGAGTAGATCATCCGCATGCAATGGCTGCACATGGACTTTTGATGGTTTTACAAGTTGATCAACCTCCGTTAGATCTGCTTCGTTCGGCACTGCTTCGTGATGTTGTTTGCTCTCTGTATGATTATGATGCGATGATAATGTTGTCTGTGATGTGTCAATTCCAAACTCTGTTGAATTAACACCTAAGCAACGATCAAGAGAAAGAAAATATTTATAAAATCAACACATTATTATAAATAATAATTTCATTGAATATTTCGAGTCATATGCGACGTTTTTTATCGTGATGGGATGAAATGAATTTTTTATGACTTTAAGCACATAAAGTCGTTTGGACGCGCTTTTAATCGTTGAAAATACTCAAATAGACGAAGCAGAAATATGTGGATTTTTGATGGATACCGACGTTTTTTGGTTTTCAGTGGACTGCGTGCCAATTTCATAAAATTTGCATAATCATTTGATTTCAACCCATAATATTGAATACTCTACAAGCGATTAGTTTTCGTATCGAATCCAAACGCACACATATTACATATATTTGATTTGTTTACCTTTAAGAGCGATTTTGTAGCACTTCGCATCATTCTTTTACTATGATTTTATATGGTGTCATTTTAAATCGAATGAGACAAAAATAATATCGTGTATTGAACCATGTAATGTTATTCAATCTATACTATGCGGAAAACGGTTGGCTTACACAAATCTAAATATTGGATAATAAAATGCCCGAATATCTAACGTAAATATCATACGAGTGTATATTTTTTTTAAATGACAAATTTATGTGTATATTTCGATCTATCGAATTCAAATCAAATTTTATCGAGATGTTGTAATTATACGACATAATGATCATTTGCAACTGGAATTGGCGTACTGAATTCAGAATTGAAAATTACTAACGGCGTATTTTTTCGACTGAAATAAAAATCTTGCATCATTCTACATTGTGCATGTGTCAGTTATTAATGCTCATTGCCAAATCGAATTATTCCAACTTACCCAAAAAAAGATAAATAAATATAAAGTTGCTATTATTGGACGGAATGTGAGACACATTGCTCGAAACGAATAATACAGAGAATTTGTCACACAATTTTTTGATTAATTCAATTGCTTTAATGACAATACTCACAATTCGATAATAATACTTTTTTGCGCACACAAAAAATTCAAATGCTCGATTCTGACATTTTTTGTTTAAAGACACACGCAATCAATTAAATAAACATTTGTATTTATTGGTGTATGATGGAGCAAGCATTATAGAAATAATGAATGGCAAAAATTAAATAGTCAAAAACAACAACCACATATACACTCCCATCATTTAGTACTTAAGTTGCGCGATTTTTCCAATATCAATGTAAATTCAAAAGCGAAATCTTCTTTTCTTTCCTTTTCTTTTTTAAATTGTTATCGACATTTGACATTAAATCGATTTATAATAATAATGTTGTAATATTTGATTTGCGTGAATAAAGTGATGTTTGTAGCAACTTGAATTTAAAATAAATTTAACAACTATTCACGTAGATCTGAAACATGAACTATTAATTTTCGGACGGCTTGTAACAAATAAATTAAAAAACTGTTGGATACATGTCTTTTATGTTTTTTGCATTCTTTTTCGTTTTCAATTTCTAAAGCGTTTTTCAATACTTGCCTCAAAATGATTAAATTGAGCAAGTTTGACATTTTGACATTTTTCAAAAGTCGTTAACAAAATTGTTAAGAAAACATCAGCTCATACTTAGGAAAAAAAAAATCAAAATCTTATTGAAGAGTGTGTGTATGTTGAACTGAATCGTTGCGGCGAAAGAGTAGCTCTTATTTTTCTCCAAATAATACTGCAACATAAAGTTTTTTATAAATAGTTTATTTGTTGTATTACAACAAATAAACCGTGTGAAAAAAACTTCATGTTGCAGTATTATTTGGAGAAAAATAAGAGCTACTGTTTCGCCGCAACGATTCAACTAAAAGTGGCTCTGGTTTTTGCAATGGCGCACGCATACCAACTAACTATTTTTAGTTTATGGTGCTAATTTTATACTATTCATGTTTGGTGTATAATAAAACATCTCTTTTCTTTTGTGCGCTTTTCGTGTTTGTTTTTCTATACTTCTCGTGACCGTCTTCAAAACAACCACATCAAATATGAAGGAAAGCAAATCGCATAAAAGTGTTTGTGTGAATTGGCGAAAGTGATTGTCTGTGTGTGAATATTGCGACGCCAACACATTGACCTGTTGAAAGTACTTTAATTAGAATTTGTTTGAATGAGAACTACACACATGTCGAGGGATAGGCCAATTTCATCATAGTTTTTATTATTTTCATTTTGTTGAAACTTTTTTTTTCATTCTCGAATTCACATTTTAGAAACTTTCACATAATCTCATTTTTATTGGTCAGTTGAGTTTTTGTGTTCACGATAAAGCAATTAATTTGTTCTTGTTTGAAATTGTGATTAACTCACTTGGAGAACAAACCAGAATACAAGTTTTTGAACATCTTTAACTTTCGGTAAATTGATCACTCAGTGTGAATTTAATTGCACAGAAGCTTCTATTAATTATAATTTATTAATAGACGCCTTTGAAACTTTGAAAATGCAAAATTAAATCGTGAAAAATCGCAACTTGAACAAATAATTACCATTTCTGTATGAAAATAACAGATTGGATGTAAAAAGCAACAATTTCTTTCACATAGAGCATTGATACCGGATATGTTTCATATCGTACACACTTCGATTGAATCGGCTGACTGCATTACATATTTTTTGCATTGTATAGTAGTGAATAAAACCAGAATTAATCGCCTTTTATTGATTAGTATGCATATTTAAATATGTATTGTATTAAACATATGTAAATAAAATTGTAACCGTTTCTTATATCTTCTTCATTCTGAACTGAGGGCCAAGTACATTAGTAAAACTAATATAGACTTATTATGCAAATATTTATGATGACGTTAAGGAATTTTAATAAATATTTTCATTTGACTTTATTTTCACAAGTAAAAAACTGATATTTTGATAAATATTTTCATTTGATTTTATTTTTTTTTTTGCTTTTTTTTGGTATTGCTTTAACCCTCTAGTTCATAAGTGGAGTGTAGATTAGATTTATCTGAAGGCTTTAAGTGCGTAAAATCTTATGTTGCAAAAAAATTAATTATTTTCTCTACTCACAGCCTTGTATTATTTTTAAACTAATTATTCTATTTATACTGAGCACTGTAAGTTTCGCTCCGTGAAATCGATGAAAACTAAAAAAATGAATAATTTTAATTATTGTTTTATTATTTTAATTGATGATTTTTTCCAAATATTCGGGATAAGTATTTAATCCCATTGGTTTTACAGTGTACTTTTTTATTATTCTTGGCATTTCAAATTGTATCTCAGAGAGATGTATTTATTCACATTTTTCTACTCTTTGCTGCAAGCAATTCGTTCATTCTGACTTATTGTCAATGCCTTAATAGAATTAATTTCATTTAACTCAGAGGCGCGAGCAATGGAATAACTTCAATGGTTTTATGATTGGCCAAATTAAGATATTAAAATTGTTGCTTACTATGTTTGACTAACATAATAATGGATTTTTCTTGACAAACACCAAAAAAGATAGATATGTGTTCCACTCAGTTTTTTGTGTTTCAACGTTATTAACGTGATAGGTTCTGGCGCTATAAAAATAATTAAGTTCATCGACTATTAGTCACTTTTTTGTACACGGGTTTTTGATTCGCAAGAAATCTAATTAAATGGCAATTGATTTCAACTAATAGAAGCTTTCACTGTTCAGGAATAGGATGTGTATTTTCATGCATCATACATTTTTACGAAAATCCAAGTTTTCTGTAAGTAAGAAAAATAAGACATATTCTATACATGGATTTAGGTGGTTTGTACTGAGGAAGAATTCTACCAATTTATCACAATAAATAGCACGCATCCCAATTTTTTCACTGGGAGCGCGAACAAGCAACAAAAAACATTTGTGAAGCCGAAACCAAATTGAGTATGACGACTATGCTGTTTATCAATTAAGTGCGTAAATCGTAATGGCATCGTGCTCAACAACAAAAAAAGAAAGCTCTGCAACATGATAAAGTAGAAAAAAGAAGACATTATTGCTTGTGGCGTATGATTGAGTATTATCTCGTTCAATATTCTTTACAGTCATAGTTCAAACTACACATTTAACATTGATTGTCAAGTTCTTTTTTTTCCTTGGCTCGCTGTTCATAATAATTTTATTTATAAGTTCTTTGTTTGCGGTGGCTTTGCTTTGGCGCATATATCAAAATGCGCATACGACAATGATTCTTATAAATGTTTCTATTTTTTCTTGATTTTTATGACATTATTTATTGCCATGTAACAATTAAAATAGATCACAGTTGTATATATGCACTTTGAATGTGTCTGTTTATTCATGCAGTAATTTGCATGGTGAATCGGCACTAATTTAACAGCTCGCGACATATTGTATTCTTCCTGCTCAATTGCATCGTTTAAGTATTTTCTCTTCTTTCTCATATAAGAATATTTTATTCAATTGGCATGCCTATGAAAATGATCAATTTATGTGCGGTGTCATTGATCGATAGCCGACGATGACATTGAAAATTCATTCTGTAAATTAATTAGGTGCATTAGCAAGTACATTTTTCAAAATTGGGTGTTGTATAGAAAATAGCATGGAAGTGTATATGATGCACATTAATGAATGCTATAGCAATACTTATAAGTGGTTTAATTTTTTGAAAATTATTTTCGGTTTAATTTAATTATTGCCAATAGGCACTATAGTTTCTCTATCAGTATCGTACTTTCTACATCTTTTTTGCCAGATACTCGTCATAAATTATTAAGACATTTAAGTTGTACGCACAATAAATTCAAATTTTATTGCTGCGATGCCTTGAAAATCTTTTTCAGAAAATGTTCACCCTCGAGACACAGTGAGGTTCAAAATACGTGCTACGATTTCTACTCAAGGACATTATTCCCATTATTTGGCTGTTTAATAATTCTACTCATATTTTATAGAATCTTGATTTGAGTACATATGCAATTTTGGTCCCATTCAAATCAAAATTATTGTCTTTTTCAATAAAAAAAACATATAAAAACTTGAATTTAATTGAATTCTCA